TGATGAGGGTTATCGGGATCACGGACACCCCCGCTTTATCCATCTCACATAAACAGTGCTTTAGCTTCTCTGTCATTTTCTGCAGCTGCACATTCATTTCATTCAAAGCATTGGCCTGCCAAGCGGCCACAAAGCGGAACGCCAAGTCTGCTGAAGGCTCGGGATGGCTCGGGTTAAACGGCTGCAGCTGGCGGAAGTCTTTCTTGACACTTTGACCGTGCAGGTTTGGCGCTTTGTTCAAAAGCACAGGACCAATCAAGTATCACTGCGCGCCATTCCTCGTCGCCAAGCTCCTCGCTGGCTGCATACTTGAACTCCCAGTTTCTTGCATCTCTACGTTTCCCGCGGCAAACCGCAGAAACTGCACGAGTGGAGACGCCAGTCTGATCGGATGCTGCTGCTAGAGATTCGAAGGGCATCCATCCGGACTTCCCGCCCATCTCACGAGCAAACACGGGCTTTCTCTGATTGGGTCGATCAATTTTGCGGCCAGCCCTTCGGGATAGTGCGTGCTGAACGTTTTCCGCCGGCGTTGCGTACTCCAAGTTGTGGACATGGTTGTTTGCTCGGATGCCATCCAAGTGGTTGACGTGGAGCTTGGCTGAGCTAGGCTGCCCTAAGAAGCTTGCCGCAACCAAGCGGTGCACGAGGAACCGTTTGGCTTTGGCTTTTACAGCATACTTAACCGACACATACCCTGCGTCGTTGACACTTCCACGTGTAATACGCCCCGTGTGAGTCTGGATTCGGCCTTGATTGCTCACCATCCAGCTAGAAACAGCACCATCAATGCCAGGATAGTGCGCTGCTTTCCAGACCTCTCCAGTTATCCATGCAGGCTCTGTATTAAAAACGTTCTGCCACTCAAATCCACCAGCATGCTTCTGGTGACCTCCGCAGCACTTGCTGATACTTACCCCTAGTGCGTGAGCTGCTTCGCGTTGAGAAGGAAATGCCACCCACGCCCCTCCATCACAAGGACGGCACCTGACTGCCTTACCCGCCGTTGTGCATCTGGTGTTGTGCCAGTGAGTTGAGTTTTCGGACGGCGTCACATACTCGAGGTTGTCAACTCTGTTGTTTGCCCTGTCGCCATCCAGGTGGTTCACTTGAGTGTGGGCAGCGGAAGGAGGAGGCCCATGAAATACTCTCGCCACCAAGCGGTGCACGTAGTAATTTGTCCCCTCAATTTGGGCTCGTCTGTAACCATGGCAGGCCAGGGTCCCACGGTGAACAACACCCTTCAAGGTCTTCACGCGACCTAGGGAGCTCACCTCCCAAGTCTTTGCGCGCACCTCTGACTGGAACCTGCTTTGACCAATCCACAAGGAGTTGGGCCAAAACTGCCCCAGCGCCAAGCTGCGATGCCAGGACCTCATGGCGTACAAAAACCGCTTGCGGCGAAGCCTGGTGTCTTGAAGCCCAGCTCCTGCGAACGCGCCTTGCCCTGATGCGACACACCCCCAGACTGCACCCCCCGGAGCGACTCCACGGCCGCTTGGGGCAGAGGAGCAGAGCTCTCCCGGCTGCGGGCTGCTTTGAGCCTTTGGGCCTACGAGGCGCCTGGGCTTCACATTCCTTAGGCAAAGCCGTGATCGTGTTGCCGAATTCACCCCAAACAGCCCGGCTACGAACCTGAGTTCGACCGTGGAAGGCAGCCAAAACAGCGCCAACATTGGCCTCTGCAAAGAGAAGCTGCTCTTTAAGCGATGAAACGTACGGGAGGCCAGCGACATTCAGCAAGACCTTTACCAAAAAGGAGGCCAAGACTTCCTCAGCGAACAGTCAAAACTCTTTGTTAACCACTCAAAGGGCCTTCCATTTGAGGAATTAAAGTTCACAAGCTGGGGAAGTGCGCAAAGCGATCGCGCCTTCCAGCACCCATCCTCCAACAATTCTGGCCGAAACTCTGTTCTCCTTGCTGTCTGCAAATCTGACGAAAAAAAGCTTCTGTCCGTAAGGGTGATGTCGAAGGGGGGATGAACTATGCCTTTGGCCCCAGAAAGTGAAGGCTTGCCTCTAAAATGGGACACTCCCACATCAATCCACTCAGGTTGCTCCCTTGTCCAAACGAGGACATAGACGGCTAAACCTTTGGGTTGCCGCAATTCAAGAAAACCACGAATCATAAAGTCGGCATTTGGGCAAGTGCAACGTTGTCGCATACAAACACATTTCCGGCAGATTCCTATGTTTGGGCCCACTCTCCCAAGCACAACTAAAACAAACCAAGCATCTGTCCGCAACGCCTCCGCAAGAACCTGCACAAGTTACGACACTTCCAACATCCAAAATCCCGGGGCCCGAGCTCGTTTTATCCTGGCGCCCGGGCTTGTTCCAGATTAAACCCAGAACCCCGCCTGGAAAAGGAAGAGCAACACAAGTTGCAGCGCCTCAGCCGGATGCACACGCCTCTACGAGTCCTATCTCAGGGAAAGGCGCCTGGATGCTCGAACCAGCTAGGCCAAACCCTTGGTTTTGATCGGCATTCAAAGGCTGATAGCCATGGGTCCATACATGAACCCATGGCTATATTGCACCCTTTCATGGCTGATTTCCGACAATGAAGCCATAACTAATGGTTAAAAGTTAGTTAACTCCTAAATTAGGGGTTGATGTCAGGGGTTCGTACATGGGCGTATACATTCAGCCTTTGAGGTATGTAGCCAACTTCGGGGGTGTGGCCGGCTAACTTGAGCGGCTGTCACCGTTTCTGCCACGGACCCATGGCCAACGCAGAAACTCATGTATCCCACCTGTGATGCTCATTACTTTCGGTCCGGGGTCCCCCCCTATGATTGCAGCTCATGGTAGTCATTCTATCCTCCCCCATCCCTTCCCTCCCTTGGCAGCAGGTGTTTTGCGCCAGGAAGCCCCCAAATGGGAAAGCCCCAAGGGTAGGGGTTATCTCTACATGTAGACCTGGGCTGCCCTCAGATCCCCTGCTAAAAGTGGAAAATTTAGCGGCTTAAATCAAAAGCTAAAAAAGCTAAGGAACCGGATGGCTGGGAGCGATACCCCTCTTGCACAGCTAGGTCCCTGGCTCCAACGCCATGGCGCATGCTTCGTTCACGGAAGTCTCGCGAGCAAAGGGCGACGAGTGTCCAACGCCGCCCCCCCGCGAGCTGCGAGCAGCGGAGACAAGGCAAACTATGCGAGCCGCGAAAACTCGACCCCCTCCCCCCAGAAAAAACATACACACAAAAAAACGAGAGAAAACAACAGAAAACATGCGAAACGCCTTGGCAAAATAAAGGGTTCTCACTACACGTCGAGCCATTCCAAGGGGAAACCATGCCCACTACATTGGTAGTTTTATACATGTATAGACATATACAGATGCATACTCTGCTTTCCTTCCTGTCCAAAGTCCTTATCCTTTGTCAGCAGCATTTGTTCCCCCCCCCCCACCCCCCCGGGAAAAGACCTGGTCCACGAGGACTGGTTCACCTCTAGGGGTCCCGTGAATTTTCGGGCTCAAAGGCAACCTACCATGTTCTTACGGAACTCCTGGTACCCCTTTAGCTCCCTATTTTTGAAGCAAATTCGGATGCCCCCAACTACGTAACAGCTCCCTTCCAGCCACCAGCTAACAGCTCATGTGTGCAAGTCGGCCTTTGGCATAACCTTTTCGATGCAACTGCGATGGGCTCTGTGCGGAAGCAGGAAGGACTAGCAACAATCCGTGCAAGATATGGGCCCACAGTCAGAAGTGAATACCTTGATGAATGACATGGTCCTCCTGTGAGATACAAGCACCTACCATACAAGACACTAAACCTAGGTGGCAAAAAACAAATCATTACTGTAAAAAAAGGTGCAAACATAACATCAACAAAGCGCTAGCCAGCCTTCCAGCACCCATTGAAAGGAGCCATGCATGCCTAGAAACCCCCAATCTAGCGAATCGGTTGTTGCCCAGCGATCTGTTAGGTAGGAAACCCTTTCTGAAATTGACCAGCTTGAGTGTTGTCGAATTCCACTCAAACAAAAAATATGTTCTGGGTGGAATCTACAAGGTGGGCAATTCACTCTGGACTGACAAGTTCTAGGCTAGGCCGAGACGGGAGGGCATTTGCATTTGCAGGACTGCTTGGTTGACTTTGGAAGGGGAGCAACTTCTAAATTTTAGCAGCTAAATGGGGATTTCCCACTAAACAACAAAAAGCAAAAATGTAAAATGTTTCCCAACAACCACCATGACTGGTGGACATCAGGCGGGAAGAAGTGGACACCCTTCATAATCAGGCCACGGGAAGAATAGCTTCGAATCCCGCCAAGTATAGTAGATCTCCAGCTGGTCTTTTTGGTCCATGCTCGGTCAGCTTCTGTACACCGCTTTGTGTCTTTGTTGAGCCACGATGCGTTCCTGAACCACTCCACAACCACATTTTCGGTAGAACACTACTCATGCCATCGCCTCAACAAAACAGCAGCAGCACATGCAAAGCAAACTGCATCGCGTGAGCTGCCACATGCTTCAGGAACGACTAGCTGCGTGCATCACGGGCATGCAGGAAAGGCCACTCAGACCAGTGGCAGCAAGGTTGGTCCAAAGACGCTTTCTCCGATGTTTGATATACACAGATACATATATATATGCATATGTATGTGTTTGTGAATAAATGTGTACACATATATTCACATATATGTGAATATCAGTGTCTTGGACACGGTATGAAATGAAGTTGTCCTGAGTTCTACCCTGGCGGTCGGTCCAAAAAGCCTTTTCTCAAAAAATATCGTGAGAGGTTCGAAGCAACCGCGGTCTGGATGGTACTGCCTGGGCCACTTTTAAGCGGCCTCTCCGAGGTAGCTTCCTACCATGGCCACCTGCCTGTGGAAGATTGCTGAGCGCCCCAAGCGCAACACAGAGGACCAGATTGTACTTGCAGGTGACGAATGGCAAACACTCACACCCTCCGTCAAATGCTGTTATCCAACAAAACCCCACCTCAAGACAAATACTGGAACAAAAACAAGTGAAGGGAACCCCCTACCCCAAAACAAGAAAATCAACAGGCGGCACTCGCTGGGCTCCTGGGATCCAATGGAGCTTGCCACGCGTTCTCTGCGGGTACGGGGCTGCTTCAAGCAAAAGGCCGCACGGCACTCACCTGGGCGAAGGGACCAGAGGAATAAGTCTTGCGCCCAGGGATGTGGGGGGCGTCCCTGGAACAGGGGAACGGATGCGTTTCTATCCATAGACACAAAGTGGGCGTCAGAGCCCACTGTCGATGCCCAACATTTCAGGGCTTCTTTGGGGTGCAGAATTTCGTCATGGTAGGAATCGCTTAAATCTGCATGTGTCACACCAAAAGCACCCTTGTTGGTTCGTGATGTTGTAGGAAGCTCACATTGATGAATGGAAGGGACCCTAGTTTAGACTTGCTGCCATTTGGCCGCAAGGTATATATTACGCATGACCTGACATAGCAATATGCTACATGTTGCTTGTTGATGACACTGGGCGGTTCGCAACGAAGGATTGGCCAATCCTACCGGGCAACTGGGCAACACATGCTTTTCGAAGTCGTCACACCTACCCAAATCGCGTTTTGGCTACGTGGTCTGGGGATTTCAACCGCGGGTTCTTGAAGCCCAAAGGAATCGCTCCCACGGCATTGGTTGGCCTTCCCGGGGCCCGAAGGAGTGAGAAGTCGGACCCCCCCACTTGGCATCAACATGGCCTGGGAACCAACAAGAACACACACATGACCGGCTTGGGCGGATTGCTCACAAGTCCGGGCTTTGGGTGATGTTCAACCAATGTTCATGAAGTCCACTCCGGAAGTGAGTGAGCAAGGCCCTCCATGCTTCAATATATTGGGGTGGAAATAACCCCTGAACCAGTTTCATATGATCCAAGGTCTAGGGACACCAGAAGTAAACCACCCATTTTCGGGGTTCCCCTGTTTCGAGACACACCCAACTGCAATGACTAAGCCGTTCTTGCCCCCCTTCCCTCGAGCCCCACGCCCGGCGCACTTTAGCTCAGGTCGAAGCCGGCCTCCGCGCCTCGTGTGCGCGCGCGTGGGTGCGACCTGTTCCCTCAAACCCAGTGCCAAGAAAGGTCACATGACGCATGCTGTGGATGGACGAAATCCATTTCGCACCACCTGAGAAACCTTGGGAATGATGTTTCCCCTGTAAATACCAACAAACAATGGTTCCCCATTGTTTCTTGGTTCTTGGGTGGTGCAGGATTCTGTCCAATCCACAGTAGTTGCTCGAAAATTGCTTCCTTTTGCCAACATTTTTTGGAGTATGGAGGCGCTAAGCCCGTGGCCCCTCGAGGTTAGGGTCAAGCGCCGCCATGTTGAAACACGGGCCAGGCCTATTTTAGAAAAATATCCTTCTGGGAACCTCCGTTTTAAGGAACCTCCACAAGGAGTAGCCCGAGACCGAGTCCGCTTGGAGAAGCCTCAGCCTTTTTGCGGCGGGGGTGCCTTGAGCTTGGTGTTTGGAAACCTTACCTTCTAGTTGGTTTATTCGCCCCCTGGAAAAATGAGCAAATATTTCCAGTAGTGAAATCGATTCCCAAAAAAACAGGGAAAAACATGTTCTCAAGCAAATGGATGTTGCTTTACTCTGGATGTTCAAAGCTTGCTACACTTCGGATTGGCTTTACGATACTTCTTGCCAAAGGCACCTCTCTTGGGGGGATCCGGTCCATAATTTTGGGGCAAACTCCCACTGCAGGTCTGGGTTCCAGCCAGCCAAAGAAAGTGAATGCCCCCAAATGGGGGGCTGCCTGTCACATCTAAAAGTTGCCCAAAATGTGATGTTGAACAGGCAATGAGTGTCCCATGCCTCTGTTTGCCCAAGCCCCCTGAACAAAATACATACAACAAACGCACGTGCAATAGAGATAGATTCCCTTATGCCCAACAAAAATAAATCATATCCATTTCAGCAAATGAAAGGGATGTGTGAAAATAGAGGGTGTTCCTCTGGGGCATTTCCTCAGATCAACCTTAAGAAGGGCCCTGAAGGAAACACCCCTGAAGAGCTGAATATACCCCTGGAAATGTGCGGGTCTGAAGTTCAGCTCGCCGAGGCCCAGGCGAATGGCTTGAAGCACCTTCGTCTTCAGACTTTCGTAGCTCACGTAGTCCGGGAGCTTCAATAGATTCGCACACCTTGCGAACACTTCCACGAAAGCGGCTCGTCTTTGTTTTTAGGGCTCGGACCCCCCCCAGATTGTGGGTTTCCTTTTGGCATCCTTTAAAACCCACTAAAAAGGGGGGCACCCTCGAAAAAGAAACACCTTCTGTTGCCCCCCTGCAATTATTTCGGCGTTTTGATTGCCAACAGTTGCTGGGTCAAAGATACCTTCGGGATGTCTGCAAGCCAAAGAACGGACACACGTATTCTCCCACACATTTACATTGACAAAACTCTTCTCTGGCATTTTGCCGTGTATTTCCAAACAAAATGAACAGTTGTCTTCTGGCCCAGCAAGCCTTCGGTAAACTAGTTACAGTGTGTCCAACTTGCTCTTAACTACTTGCTTTGCACTCTCAATAATCTACTGCCAAATCCCGATATGTTGAACCCCGCTAGGAGGCGTCCCATTTTGATTTTTAGAGGGAGATGCATACTTTTGAGGCAATACCGTCATATGAATCCGACGAACGCCAACCGTCGAACAATCAAAGGTTTCGGCGCGCCCCGCAAAACAACAAAAGCATGTACAACACTTCTAGTTCTTCGACCCCAAAACTACCAACGGTCTCCTTGCGCTTTCCCTTTAAACCCGACCAACAAGGGGGGCGTGCCCGAAAAAACGATACAGCCACCCAGCAGTCTAGGGGTTGATTGCCCATTCTTTGCAGCCATTAACCATCCTTCATTCCAAAATACATGCTGTACTTTTTGCAATAAATCCAAGCCCTGAATTAAACGATCCCCAAGTACAGGATCTTTATCATGGCTTTCGCTCGTTTTAACCCCAATCCGTGAGCTCAAAGTTTTCTTGCTGGTGCGATGAAGGAGATGAGAATTGGCATCACCCGGAATTGAACCATCCAACTGGTGGTTTCCTTTGCTCGGTGACCCAAGCCTGGGTTCATTTCATTTGACATTCCCTCCCTATCGCACCACGGCGCGAAGGAGCTGAGGCGTGCGCGTGGCGCTGGTGGGCAGGCGCTCGGAGTCCGGAACCCGGTGCACGCAGAACTTGGGGTTCAAATTCTGGAACCTGGCGACATCTTAGAGCTTTTGATACTGTGGATGGTTGCAAAATCCTTTCGCAATGCACCACAGTTCATGAAACCATGGGAGGAAGGAAACAAGAACGTAACTTTACAGGGGAATTCAATGATTCGGGGTTTCTAACCTTAGCTTTTCCAATCCGACTGTAGGTAATATATACCAACATGTGACCCATTCGGAAGGTAAATGTGGGTATATGTTACCTGCATGGATTGTCTTGGGTCTGATATCTAAGCTTTGTATGGAAGCAGCGGCGAGCGCACCCAAGCAGCGGCGCTCGGCTGCAGGAGGTGGTGAACCTGAAGGCTGCCGACTCACATTACCAAAAATAGCACAGGAACCCTGCATAGGATCCAACCGGCTGTGCTCTTGCTTGGAGGAAGGGGAAACCCTGGGGGACGGGGGTAGCCGAGGGGAGATCCTATGACAAAAGGACGCTAGGCTTTGAAAAGGGCATCTTCGCTTTCATGTCGGTTGGTGGGAGGGTGGGCCTCTGATACTCGACATGGACCGACACCTGAAAGCAGATTTGGCCGGGTCCTATGTTGCTTCCAACGGAATAGGCTCGTCTGAAAGAAGCAAATGACAATCAACACCTGAATGTGTGCAAATAGGACAGCTAGAAAGCAACAACATATCTATCTATACCTTGCGGTGTGTTATTTAGAACCCAGCTGTTGTCAGCAGTCTTCCCAGGATTCGTGATGCTTGCCAAGGTTCGATTTGCGAAGAGCGAACCATGGACAGGAGAACAATAGGAAAACAATGGCCCACGTGCCCACCAGCATGCCCATCAAACAGTTGATATGGAGCAGCATTGTGTGTCATTGGAGGACTGAGACAAAGCTCAGATCACCATTGATTGAAATTTTGGGATTCCCGTCCACATGGTAGCTTTCCCGGGCCCAGCCCCAGCGGATGGATGCCTTAAATCTTGAAAGCCAGGGAAAAGTTGGACACCCTGTGATGAGCCACCAGTGACCAGGGTTTTGGGTGCGAAGCGGGCCAATTTGCCATACTGTGGATGGACGAAATCCTGCACCACCTAAGAAGCCCTGGAATGTTGATTCCCCTGTAAATACCAACCAACCATGGTTTCCCATGGTTTTCAAGCGGTGCGAAATGGGTTTCGTCCATCCACAGTATTCCGTAAGCACCCATCACCGCGCCCCTTACACACCTTGGTCCCCCACCCCCCTGCGCCCGGCCCTCAGAATTTCAAGCCAAGCCTCTTCGAGGCCGGCTTGTGGGGGAACCCAGGCTCCCAGTGGCTGTGGAGTCAACAAAAGCTCTCATTTGGTTGGCACTTGATCTTCAGGGGGGTTCTCCCCTCCAAGCAAAACAAACAACCAGGAAGCAACCCACTGGGTGACGGGTGTCTGGCAAAACATATATAAATCCCAAAACATCACTTCCCACAACATCCCCGGCCCATGTCCTCATCCCCAAGCGTCCGGGCATCAAGAAGCGGCCCATGTCTTCCGGCTCAAGGTCTTCTTGCCTCGACTGCAACGCGGCTCAGCCAGGACAACAAACAGCCCAAGGATCTTCTTGTTGACTACTCAAAACCGGGTACGAAAGTAGGATGGTAATTCAGAGGTCTGACCACAGCGTGATGAATATCCATCCTCTCATCGTTTCTTTCGGGGAAAATCAAGAATTATGGGTTGACATTGCACGCAGCTCGCGCTTGGTAGCGGAGTGCTCTTGAGCCATCTTATTCGGGTTGCCATAAGCCACATTGCCGAAAACAAAACATTGGCCATGGGTCCTGGGCGCCCAAGGAAGGATTTTCATGACATACGATGTTGGCGGACTGGCTGTCTAACGGGAATCGTGAAATTTTGCGGGTTGGCATGCCGACAACGCTCAAGCAAGCGCGAGAGGTAGCTGCCACAATTCCACACCGGTTCCCCACCTTGATTGGGAAAGAAATAGACATGCCCACCTGCATTCCTCCCGCTAAGACACCTTGTGCTTTGTGGTTGAATTTCATGACCCCGGCCAAGTGTGCGACTGCTTGGTGGGTTGGCCCACTAGAAAAGAAACCCCTCGATTGGGGATTCCTCTTGGTTTGCGGCCAACACGGCCACAAGAAGGGCGTCCAACCCCACATTCCCACAGGAGACATCAGCTGAGGACGCGGCAATAGTCTCCAAAGCCATCGGACGCAAGGGCTGTCGTCCTGCATTCAACTTGTAGCTCCCTCTTCGCTTGCGCCATCAGACCACGCAGGGAGGGCCTCAAATATTTGGGTACTACTCACAGCGGAACCCCTGCCAGCGGTCCCTTGTTCGATTACCTCAATCTGACTTTGACCCAGTTTTTTTTCCCCCGGGGAACTCACCACCCCTGGGTTTGAGTGCCTTGGGCGTAATCAACAAATGGAACCCTGCGCTATATGGCTGAGGCTTCGCCCACGTTGCCATGGCACCTGTGGAAGGGTACCTGGAAGATCAGCTTCTTGGAGGGACCCTCTGTCAGGTGCCATGTTCGCGTGAAGTGCCGGAAGGGTGAAACTCTCGTGCAATTTCAGGGATAACCCAAACTTGAGCGGCTGAAACACTGGTTGCAACCATTCCTTTGGGCAAGTTGGACATCCAATGGCATCCAGCACGTTTTGCCCCCAGTCGAGTCGATGGATCCCCTGGTAGAGTGAACGCAACGAAGACCAAACCGAATTTGAGTCCTTGCGGCTCGGAGCAACTGTTCACCGAGGCTTTGACCAGACCTTGCTATCATGGCTGGGCTTTTACATATCACCACTGTTTGCAGACCAAAGAGAACACAAAGTGCTTCCCAAGTCCCACGAACGAACAATCCAACGATCCATACATGGCATCGCCATCAGAATGGAGATCTCACTTGGCCCGGTGCACTCCTGATAGCCGCCCGAGAGCACCGTGTTCGCACGCAAGTCTTTTACGTCGAAGCCAGTGGTGGACCCGGAGATGAGCGTGTTGAGCTCCTTGAGGCGAACGGAAAGGGTCTCGCGCCTTCCGGTGATGCCAAAGTGGGAATTTCCCTTCCCATTACTTTCTCGTGCGATCACAGGTAGCTCTTTGGACATTGTAGACTAGTCTTGTTCCACCTTTTGCCAGCATATTGGCCCGCTGGAACCTCAACCCAGCTCCGCAATCTGGGAATACCAGCCAGTAGCAAGCCGGAGATAAGACCTGGTCCTGAAACGAAGTGCAGAAAGTGGCTCGACAATTCAGCTTTCAACAGCTAAGGCCATCTGCGGTTGGCCATTTGCAAACCAAAACAGAAGTATTCCAAAGGCAGCCCACAACAGGGCTCCCACTGTGACCCCTTAAAACCTCACCTTCCCGACAGTTCGACAAAAAATTGATGCTTGAAAGAGCCAAGTGCGGCAATAAAGGGTGAGTATCACCCCTTGAACATCACCCTGCCCAAAGGAACCGCCCTCCTAAAATCGCACACTCTGGGGTGCTGTTTCAACGAGCCAAGTGCGGCAACTTGTGGGATGAGCACGCCAAACTCCGAGGCCCCCGGCATAAGGATCGAACATCTTGAGCCAGGTCACGGGAATGACCTGGCCGCAAAACGCCGGGTTTGGCCGTGAAAGGAAGGCGCTCTCTGCCTAAGACATCTGGCAAACATGCTATAGAAGCCGGAAAAAAGGACCCCCCTAGCAAACCCCCTGCAAATCGACATAGAGCCCGAAAACAGGTCCCCCACAACGATATTTTTCTAGAATGGAAGGCTTTTTGGGTTCCATGCTAATCTGCAGGGGAGTAGTGAACCTCAAAACCGATCCCACGTAGGGAAGGTCAAGCTCTGCATCCGCACCTTCTGCATTCCGTTCAGGAAGGCCAGGGTGTGACGTTGGAACTGCACGTTTGTCCTGCGTCACCCGTAAAACCCGCGCAGACCCTTCAACAAATATCTAAGAAGCCAGCGGCAGGAAACTCTACCTGCCGCAAGTTAGAAAACCCCTGGCTTTGGTCATTTTGGACAATGAAGTGGACAGGAGCCCTAAGATGATGGTAGTCTTCCAGAAATCTTTGCCCATGGAATCCGAAGAGCTACAGCTTCCATGCTCCTTGGCTTGGCAGTATCACGCATCACCCCCGGAAAGGCTTTCGAAGGAAGCCCACACAAGAACCTTTCTGGGGATTAGGAAGGCCCTCATGCTCATAACCACACTCTCTCAGTAGCTAGCGTCCCTTAAAACCACACTCTCTCAAAACCACACTGCAGGCGAAATACTGGAGATGCTTCGAACCTTTCGCGTCCTGTAATTGGCCATCAGGTGCAGGTACCGCGTGAGGTTTTCTCTCGTCACCTGAGCGACGCGGAGCCGCTGGCTTTGGGGAGTGCCTCACTAGAACTTCCCCAACACACCCCAGGACCCAAACAGGGTCCCGGTGAGGACGCATGTGAGCCAGTTGGAAAAACGCCCAACTACCAGCTCATTTTGGAGGATCCAAATCCGTGCAAAGCAGGTGGCTTTTGGATGTCTCGTTCAGGGAACCCTGGCCTAAGAATCCCTTCGTTTTTCTTAGAGATCGCGTTTATCACCGTTGCCCCCATCCCCTTGTACCTGTAAGGCTTTCTCCGGCCGCATCGAACTGGAAAAAAGGGGTTCGGGGCGCAGAGTTCGTATTGAAGTGTCCAATCTTGTCGGGGTTCCTTCTGGATGTCTTCATTTCAGAAGCCAAAAAGGAACTTGTTTAGGACCCCCCCATGATACAAGTAAGATTCATCGTCTGCTCTCAGCCTGGCCCGCCTCTGAATTAGATACAGAACATCCTATTTAGTCTACCCTAAAACCTAAAACTGTCTGGAAGGAGCCCCAAGTTATCCCCCCTACCTGAATGGGAAGGGGGGTGGGGGGTCCCCAAGTCCATTCCTAGGGAAAATGGGTTGCCACAAATGGAGATCTCCAGGGGCCGAAATCCCCCCTTCCCCCAATCAGTTCCATTTTTGAGGGCCCCGGTGGGGCTCTTTGCCTTCTTCCGCAACTTCCGGCGGGGCGCTATGGTGTTGCTGCCATTGGGAATGAGGTCGATGTCCTGAAGCAGAGCTCAACCCAAGAAGGCCACAACACGCCTGAGCTCTCGTAGAGCAGAGCTAAGCTAAACATGGCGGATACCCAAGGAACAAGAAGGGATGGGAAAGGCTGGGCGGCAGGCTTGCTTGGGTCTCAGGCTGGGGCCACTCCTGAAGCTACCCTAAACCTAGGGCGAGCTTCCAGCTGGGCTGAAACGCATGAGCTGAACGTCTCTGAGGATGTGAGGCAGAAGAAAGAACCAACGGCCCCACTCATTGCGACAACCTCTGTTTCAGGTTGGCTGAAAACAAGCCAACAGGGACCACACACATTTTGGAAACGCCAGTCTGCTTTCGCGACTCGTGGCTCCACATGAAGCAACCTAGCCTGTCAGGAAATCTTGCCGATTGGCTGCCAGCCAGTCAACCATCAATGCCGAGCCTTGTGGACCCCCTTCTCCGTGACTGAGATGCCTGGCGGGGTGGATTGCCCAGACAGCCAGCCAAGACAAGTCACCGCTCTAGGAGTGATTGTACGTGCCCGTTATCCATTGCTGTTGTTCATACCCCCAAGGGGTATGTACGAAGTCGTTGGCAACCAGTTGGCAACCAGCAAGCCCAGGCTGTCCAATCTTGGAATGGCGGCTAATGGCGGCTGGTCATCCAAAGCAGGTCTCTACTTGATCTCGGGGTAAGCAATGATGTCGTCAACCTGGATTCGCCCCTTGACCCTTTTTTGCAGGGATTCTCACTTCAACTTGGCCCCAATGACTTGTTGAACCCTTGGCCAGGCTCTCAGATCGACGGGCAAATCCAACCCTGAAGCTGAGTGGCTGAAGGTGATGCCCAGAGCTGCCACATCCTCGCACTCCTGGCGACTCAGCCGCCAAATCAGTCCCTTGGGCACATGGCCCTTGGCAGCTCTTTGGAAAAATGGGCTAGGTTTCACTGGTCCACGGTAAGACTTTTTTTTGTTTAACTGAAACCAGTGGAGGCTCGCACACGTTTCCAGGCAAGGTAATCTTAAAAATTAAAAGGCCATGAACATGACGATGGCAGTGCTCCAAGACCCTGATATCTCCAAAGAAACTCAGCCAGGGCCGGGCTGATGTTCCCAATGTACCTGAGGAGCATGCAAAAAAACAGTACCTGGCCGACATAGGCCACACTTCCTGCGCCCACTTGCAACTAGCGACCCTGGCAAAGAAAGAAGAAAGGGAACGAAATCATTCTCGGGTAGAACATGTGACGACTTGCAAGCTTCTTGGTTGTTGCTACTTTTTTGTTGCTGTCCCCGCTGCAACTATGTTCTCCGGATGCTCCCCCCGTCGGTTACGGCCAAGTACGCTGGCGCCCACGATTCTTCCCGACCGTGCTCGACGGATCGATCCGCCAAACCAAATGCAAGCCCTTCATTGCCCAGGGATTCTGCTTGCGTTGTCCCCCTACCCTAAGCGGGAGGGGGGTGGGGGGTCCCCAATTCCATTTATTTACCCTTCCCCACAAAAGGGAAAATGGCACCATAAATGGAGTTCCAGGGGTCGCCCCCCTCCCCCAATTCCATTTTGAAGGGGGTGGGGATGTTTGGGTGAATTATCCCATGGATGCAACAAGCACTTGCAACAAGCTCCGCGTGTCCTTGATCTGGAGCATGTTGCGGTGAAGCTCCCTGTCCAGCGCTGCAATATCGTCCACCTCGGCACATGTCCGTGGAGCGAGCCTTTCGCGAGTCATTTGGGAGGAAAGCTCGGGCCTAAGGATGCCTAAGGCCTCTCAAGAAAGGCTCTTCGAACCTTCTCAGAAGGGTTTGAAGGGTTCTGAGAACCATTCAGGTGGGTAGAGGGACATGCACCTGTGCCAGAACCTCAATGGATAAAAGAACCTGTGCCTCCAATGCTCTCGAATGTGTTGCACAACTTGGGTCCACGCAAAGATGCTCCCTCTGAACATATAAACTGTAAACAGGTGTGCGCACGCTTCTACAATGTACAGCAGCATGTGTAATCCCGTACCTGCCCACATGGGTGCATCGCATGTACAAAGAACTGCGCGGAGTCAATCAACTGGTTCATAGTCCCTCTTGCATCTGCTTAATTCCTGGGATCCAAAAGCCCCTCCCACTGGTTCTTATCCTCGTTAGGGTCGTTTTTTGGGGACAAACACCGGGGAAGAATGCCGTAGTATGTCGGTCTTGGTTTACTGGAGAAGAAAGGCAAGGGGGGTTGGGTTGGAGGGTTGGATGCTATGACTTTCCGACTTTGGCTGCCAAACTCCGCACGACTCAGATCCGCGCCTCGTTGATCCTGCCCAGCAGGCGGTTCAGGAAGACGCGGCTGAACTGTGGCTCCAAAAGGAACATCTCATAGATGGCCTGCCAGCCACTGGGGTAGTTTTTGTTTTTTATGGGTTCCATCAAGTGGCTGACGTTTTTTTTTTTGGGGGGGGTCAAAACCGTGCTTTATGTTATTTTATTTTCTTTTTTTGTAGGGGGGTGGTGTCCCTTTGAACACCTTTGACAGGGTGCATAACTTTGAGGATGTCCTTTCCAAAAATAATTTATGATCAGAGGACAAGGATATGATTATAAATGAGATTTCATTAGTAATACAAAATAAATATTCAACATGAGAATAATCGATTTATCTGAGGCACGAAGGAAGCTATTATTTTCATGTCCCATTATTTCTATTTTATTATTTTCTTTTATTGTTTGTTTATATTTATTTTCTAAATGTAATAAAAGCAAATTATAGAAATTCATCTATTTTATGTTTGCTGTCCAAAAAGAAGATTCATAAGGTTAGGAAAGGTAATTAGAAGATACACACAAACAATCCAAATAATACAAGGTAAAGAGAAGATGAACCGACATGAAGGTGCCATCAGAATCCTTTTGTAGGAGCTCTTGGGATTCAAGAACCTGTTATCCTTGGCGAGCCACAAATCAAGGGTTAACCGATGGTGGCGAGGGGAAGGGCAAGCCTTCATTCTCTTTTGTTTATTTCTTTCTTGTGTTTCTTTTATTTGCTTTTCTCTTTTATTGTTCTTTCTTTATTGGTTTTATTATAATATATTTCTTTCTCTCGGATCCTCACCAATATTAGCTCAGAGAAGAGAGGATCCAGAGCATGAGAAAGAAATAGAATTAAAAAGACAAATAAAAGAGAAATAGATAAGTGAGTGACCATTGACCCAGCCGTGAGGCAAGGGAAAGAGGAAATGATAGACAGGGAAGTTCATGCCCTTCCAGCCGCCAACGAGCGGGGTAACTGGAGAACGATAGTAGACGACCAGGAGAAACGCTATTATATTACTATCTTATATTAATTTTGTATTTTCTGGACATGTTTACCAATTCGGGAGAGGGGAGGGGTGGGGGGGGGGGGGGACAAAACTGACATACATCAACTACCACTTCTACCAGCCCCCTCCTCCCTCGACCGTCCGATCTCCCTCCCCCGCCTTGCCCACCACCTTGCCCAGGAACGTGTACAAGTCCGCGGCTTGTGGGAACTTGGCAAAGGCCGAGGTGGAGGGGTAGAGGGCATGGTCGCTCGTGGCGCTGAAGAGGCCGAACCTCAAGCGAAGCACGAAGCACCTCCGAAGACTCCCCAAGCGCTACTAACACTTTGATCTGTAAATTGCAGTGCAATATTTTCTTGATGGATCCCCGAGTGAAGAATATCGTTTGGGGGACTCCTGAGTGAAGAACCTGTTCATGGCGAGCTCGCTCTGCTTTTTGCGCAAGCAAGCGAGCTCGACATGGCTCGATCAGTCCGCAACAGTTTCCACGGTTGTGTGGAGGTCGCTTCCCCAACTTCCACAGCACCCTTCAACATAACTCCCTTTCTTGATGCGGATTCCCTTCATGTTAAGGCCTGTGGAGAAATCTCGGAGACTCGCGCTGCATGCTTGCAGCTTGCTAAGCTCCAGGCTCTGGGTCGAACATCTCGCGGCAAATGTGCACCATGAACTCCTGGCCATGACTCCACTCGTCCCCCACCGAAGCGCCACACCCGAGCCAGGGGGCTGGTCTCAACATGTCGGGCTGCGTCAACTCTCCAAATGTTGCGTTTCATTTTGGGAGGTCCGCACCCCCCTCCTACACCCTGTCCACATTACGGAGCTGGGCAAAAACATAATCCTTTGGCGATTCACTGAATAGACACTGGGTGCCAAGAAGGGGGGCCTCGCAAAATCACAATAGACAATCTTACTGTTGGTTTCCCTTCGTTGTTTTTCTTTTTGCACATCACCAATATCCTAAATGAGTCTTGCTGCAACATAAACCCCAAGTATCCATCACACAGATCCCACCCCCCGCCAAAACAACATCAAACAAAAACAAATCATGCCTTAAGCAAGGCCTTGGCAAATTCTGCATCCCTTCTCCCCCCCCTGCTGCCCCGGCCCCGAGCCCCAGCCGCTCCTTGAAGAGCCCGCCCCCGTCCACGCCGCTCTCCGGGGTGCCGTCCGGCGCGATGAACTCCACGCGGAAGGTGTCCCGCAGGCCGTGCTCGTCCTCCAGGCCTGCGGCGCTTGGAGATGTTCGGGGCGGCTAGGGACCTACAACGGGACCTCTGGGGAGAATGCATGCTAATTAGGAGGGGGGCGGGGGTGTGGTGGACACTTAGGGTCTATTTTGGAACTTTTTTCTTTTAGGGTAGTTGCTATTTAGGGTTCTTGGCTGCAACATACTCCGGGTTGGACCCCTTTTTGAGCTTTCCTCTTTGGGAAGCAGTGGGCTGTTTAGCGCCCAGTGTAAATGGGCGGTGCTAAAAGGAGACCCTTCTGAATTTGATCCCAGGCTGCAATGGAACAAAGCTCCCCCCGATTGAAACAACCATCCCTGGGTTTGAGCCTCCAGATTGATTTCCAAAGCATAAGGGACATTCCTTTCTGGCTTGGTTGAGTTCGAATGCTTCCGAAGGGTGAAACCACACACCAAAAAAAAACAAAGAAACTGGGGGCCACCTGGATGACTTGCATTGTGCCCGTGCGGTGAACCACGGCTGGCGCCAGCAGCACCCGATCCGACGATCCCCCGAAATCCAAAATCCGCGAGCCTTCGAAGGAGGCGATGCCGTCCTCCACCAGGAAGTTCCGGCGGATCTGGTGCTTCTCCATGGCCTCAGGTCGGTTGTCACGTGGATCCTCAAAACTCTTCCAGGGAAACCCGCGGGGGAAGCCAAATCCGTTCGTGTGAAAAAGAAAATCTGACAATTTGTCCCTGGAATCAGTGGCTTGGCATGGTGGTTTGGTGGTGGTTCTGCATGTTCTGGCCAAACCCGGTTACCCTCAAGAACCACACTCTTTTTGGTCAGGGCTTGTCATCATATCCAAACAAAAGCGCATGTTAGGAGGAAAGACTTTCGGCACCCATCGCCCCACTCGCTCGCTGGGGCCGCCGACAGAAGGACCCCAGGGGCCGCGGAAGGCCCTTCGCTCCTCCTGAGCCAAAGGTATAGGCACATGTGAAAACTTGTTAGGCACGTCCCCCCCCAGGTTGGTATCAACTAATCTAGGGGGTGATTCCTTTTCCACGCTGTTCAACCGTTCTTTCCAAAAACTTGCCATGTCACGCAGCTGTTTAGGTAAGCCAAGGTTAATGCCAACTGATCTTGGGGTGGCGTTAGAAATGAGGATCCCCGGAAAAGAAGGACGTCACCCCGGGGTTGATTCCAACAACGCTCCATTTCCCTTGCTTTGACCTGGAAGAATGGGACAGTTGCCCAAGGAACTGTTGCAGCGTATAACGTCAGAGCAGGGCTGAATGGCTTTGCATACGATTCACCAGTTTTTTTTTCTCCTACCGATTGCTGACAAAGAAAGAACTGCAGACTGCCTTGCCCAAAAGTGCGAAAGCGACAACCAATCTGAGAAACTTCTGTAACATGCCCTTGGTCAGCAAGCAACTCGCCCGCAAGAGCCGTGGCGGAATTGTCCTGATCGGCTAGGATGGCATTGTGCAGGATGGAGACCCGGTCCTGCACAAGCTGATTCTGGCATGCTCGTCTGAGGGTCGCTGCATGGACCCAATGGTCAAGGACAACTTGAAACACTGCAGTATGGTCTGCAGAAGTACCTGACAGAAGTTATGGAAGGACATGGTAGTAGATGAAGGATAAGGGAGAGTCCCATGCATTGAGGCAACCCTCCAACATACCTTTTGGAGATTTGAAATGGGACCCCAAATGAAAGCGATTCATCATGGGAGGCTTGTGGTATGCCAAAGGTATGTTGGAGGGTTCTTGGAACCGTACATGGGTGCGCTGCAAAGGGGTCAATGCGCTTTTATAAACTTGAAGTCCTCAAGGATCTCAAGGACACAGCCATGACAAACACAATATCTCAATAATATCTTCAACAAAAAATGACTGGCCTTGAGTTCGTCTCAAGAAGCCTTCCCCCAAACCCCTCCCCCCAAACAAACCCCTCCCCCCAAACCCAGGCCATCCAATCCAAGCCAGCGGATTGAATCGAAGAATCCTCGAAGGGCAGCACGTGGGGCATCTCCGCGAGCACCGCCTGCAGCGCCTTCTCCGCCAGACTCTGCGAGCTCGTGGCGCCTCGCTCTGCTTCTTTTGGGTGAGTTACAGTTGATCCACGGGTCTGGGAGAAGGAAACCCATGTTTGTCTTGTTTTTAAGGGCCCCTTGTCCACCTCCGTGATTGTTGGAAAAAGGGGCAGTTTTAAGTACAAGTGTGACCCTTACAAAAGCTGCTCCTTGGTGCCCCCCCCCCCCACATTCCACAAACTTGCTTCAACAGGCAAAGGGCGCCCATGCCAGTCAACATCTGACTTGCTGGGGTCCCTCCTGTGTCCCCATTAAGCATCAGCTCAACAGCGGCAAAATCAGAAAATCCTTATGAGTGATATGTAGACCTTGGGAACCCTGGAACCCCAAACAGAACAAACACAAACATGATTTCAGCCCCAGCCAACAGGTCCACCAACAGGAATATCACGTGTTGAAAGGAAACAGAAACGCATTGAAAGCTTTCGGACAGTCTCAGCATTCTTCTGGGTACGCAGGCCCTGAGAATTACAGAAACGAGACACAATAGGACTCATGTCAAAATGATGTGAGGCACTTCAAAACCTGATTTGGCTATGATTATAGGCGTCATCAGCATACCAGCACTCATTCAGCCTCTCTCTACGCGAGGTTCAGTGCAGGTGCGCGTTCCCATTTACCCTGAACAAGAACCAGGGGTTCAATTCCCGCAAAACCACCAATCCAAACGACCAACAAAAGTTATCAGTCGCGGTTCTCCTCTTGGTTGTCCTTTTAAAACGATAGAAAGGAGTGCCCTCAGAATAAACAGTCCTATATATATATATATATATGTATGGGTGTGGCTCAACATTAAACAGGACGGGCTACGCAGGTTTTGGTCCATGTTTCCTTCACAGGGCAACCCAGTTTGGGTACCGTTTTCTTTGAGCCACAGCCATATTACTCCCCCCGCCCCCCAGCCCCCAGTGTCTTGCCGAGCCCGGCACTTCCGGCCGGCGCGCTTCTCTCTCGCGCCTCCGGTGGCACATGTAAACACCATACCGGGAGCTGAACAAAGGGTCTGGGAAAAACACAAGCGATTTCGCCCATCCCCTCTTACTTCGTTCTGGAATAAATCTTTGAGTTGGAAAAAAATGAACATTTAACATAGAAAAGCACTCGTTCTGTTGGAACCTGAACCTTTAGCTCGCTTGACAGTGTCAATGCCCCCTCCCACAACCGTGAGCTAGGCCCAAAAGTGCAAGCACCACTCCAAAATTGGAGACCCCGTCTTCGTCTTCAATCTTGCAGATGTTGATTCATCCCCGGGGTGCCTCTCACCCCGAGGCAGCGCCTAGAAAGAGTCCCAAGACATGGGCCAAGTGGTGCTTGAACAGCGCCTTGCACCCGCAAGGCGCGCCTCCTGTCGGCCCTCATCCACCTCCATGGGGTCGTCCTGGTCACACAGGGCAGTTCTTTACAACAGGGAACCTGCAAATCTCCTGGGTCCATATTTTTGTTGGGGCGGCGCATCCGAGCACACTGCCATAGAATCCCCTTTTGGCGTTTTTGAGGGAAGGGCTTCCTTTTGAGGCTTCCTTTATGGGCAATAAGCACCCAGTGAAGTGGTTCCAAGCTGTCCTCCTCTTCTTCATCCTCTTCCTCTGGCTGGGCAGCACTGCCCAGATTCATAGAGTTCGGCGCCCGTCTCAACCTGGACCAAACGAGCAGGCTTGAGAGCTGTTTGGAAGACTCCCGCCAACTAAAACGCGTATCTCGCCAAATAGAGGGGGGATGGCGGCAGTTGTCCTTTTAGTTTCCATTTACTCAAGTGAGCAGGGCACCCTCAAGCAGCTAACTTGGAACTTGTCTGGGAGCTTCTGATGTGATCCATTTTTGGTTGGTGGGAGGGCACTATAATTCTTAAGGCAGAAGCGAACTTGCAACCCCTAACAAACCATCTCTAAGTTCGTTTTTTCCTCAAATGAGCTCGGAAGACTTTTCAGACCAAGCGATATTGACTGCCCCCCCAAAATCCTTTTGCTGACATCTGCCAGCACTTGGCCAAACTCCAACGCCCCGCAAAAGTTGACTTTTGGGCAATCGAAGGGGGACATCAAACCAAGAAAACCACCAGAATGCAACACCTTAAGCAGAAATCTAAGTTTGGCCACAGAAAGGCGTCTTGGGCATGTTTCCAGTTGCTCCCTGGCTGGATTAAACTGGTGTGCTTCTTGTTTCTCCGGCACCAGGATGTACAAGGTAGGCCTGGCCATCAGGACATATGCCTCAGACTGCCAGCTTCCCTGCGAACCAGAAACGAGGCCCCCGGCAGCGTCCGGGACTCCGGGATGATCCAGGCCTTGGCATGCCACAAGTCTTGCGGACCAATGAAGCAAAGCGAATTGATCTATAGGCACGTTTAGACTACTGTTCTTTGTTGCAGCAAATCTGAAGCAGTCGAATTCTTTAACTCCCCAAAATGCACCAACTAGTCAGTTTGGCCCTGCGCATGCCCAACTAACAAACATTTCGAGCAACTTGTGGCGACTCTTGTTGGACTCGGCAGTTACGTTTGACAAAGAGAAGGATGTCATCCCGTCTGACCGAACTTGTAAAAGAGCGCAAGAAGCCAAGAAATGATCCTTCGCCAACACCTCCACCATTGGACGTATGAGGAGGTTGCGATCACAATTTCCATGTTCCATCACAATGAATCTGACATTCTTCTCTTCCCAATCCTTGGTATGCTGCTAACGACGCTCCTGAGGTTTTGCCCAACCAAAAAAAAAGGATTCTGCTTAACATGCACCATAGCCTCATCTCTCCAAAGAGATCCCAGAAAGGAACAGAAAAAAAGAAGAAGACAAAAGGAGAAAAAACAACACGAAACACAGTGAAACACACCAAAACAAAAAACACATCTTCCAAGATCAGCGCATTGATCTTCTGAGCTCCCGAACGCTGTCGCTCTCCAAGATGGGCTTGCGCCGATGCCGGTGGTAGAGCAAGTTGAGCTGGGCGCGCCGCGCAGCATTCTACTCATTTAGCTCGGGGAGCCTGGAAATATAGAGCTTAATCTTGTGGGACCAAGATATACACATCGACTAAAACTTGAGGGCAACATGTACTAAAGGTCGGCTTTGGACCACTGAGAAGATGGTGGCCAGGTCGCAGCAAATGAACTCGATATGAGTGAGCAAAAGTATCCTTATCATTTTTCACGTGTTATGCAGCTCTTCACCCGGTGCTTACATGACACAGATCCCGCTGAGTATGCTTATACATCTATGTTCATTTATGAGGACCGGCATTGGTCAGGAACACCAGGGACGAAGCAAGTGAGCCACGCAACAGATTCTGACCATGGTCCACCTAAGGCCCCCCACCAAAGCGGTGAGACTGGTGCGGAGGGCTTTTGCTGCTGGAAGCAATGATGCCTGCAAGCGCGTTGCAAGTGAGGCTCGGGAAGCACTGATTGCAACCATTCATTCCCCCCGAAACGACAAACCTGTCTAGGGATTCACCCATCGGTTCTTTTCCAACACCGCGCATATACCCTGGGATTGGGGGGGGGGAGGCCATTTTCTACAGGGAAGGGGCCCTGCACAGTGGGCTGTCCTCAGATCTCCTGCTAAATGTTAACTTGTAGGGGGTTAAATGGACACCCTACCACTAAACCCCAAAAACCTAGAAACAAAAAGAGATCGGACTGCTGGGAACGGCCAGGGAAAATATGGGGATGGCACAAATGGTACATTTCGAACTGCCTCCCCAGCACATGAGCCCACACCTCCGGCCTGGTCAGGCATCCAGGTCACAAAGTGGTACGCTAAGCGGTTCAGGAATGGCAACAACTCTCGCACCTGGCGTGGTATTCATTTGGAGTGCCACCTTGGAATTGGCTAAATGTCTGCGCCAGTAAGGGAACACAATTCGGGTGGCAAAAAGGTCCATCCCGATTTCTGACCCTAGGCAGGCTGTTAGGTCCTTGGTCATATGTCAACCTCGGATGAATCCGGAGCACCCTACTAATGAAAGGAACCCTCGCAAAAATAGATGATTTCCTTAGGGCTTGGACATGCCACTGCCTCGGTCTTTCCAACCCACCCACCTCTTCCAAGCGCAGGGGGTTGGCATCCCCGAAGAACTCGTAGTCGTACATGGGCTGCAGCTGGACGGCATACACCTACAGGCTGCTGTGCTTTTGAGTGAGGAGGGAGGGACCAAGGAAGTGTGGAAAGAGGGTAAATTCATGCATTGTTGGGATGGGAGATCGCAAAGCGACCAATCAAATAAGACTGGGGTAATGAGTGCTGATGATCATAGTGGAAAGCTGGTTGGGGAGTTCCCCACGATGCTGCCCATGCATGATATTCAGGCCTTTCTCTGCTGGAATTGCCACACAACGTGAAAACAAAACTAATTTATGCCTCGTAATTGCTTCTCACCGAGAACAACCTTTGCCTGGGTGAAAATACAAGAACTACTAATTCATTTGAACTTCAACAAACCTGTCTATCCCAACACAGATAGCCCCACCAAACAAGGGACTTCACCAAACAAGGCACGGGAATCCACCAAAAATCACCCCCCCCCCCCAAAAAACAAAAACAAAAAACTAAAATACAAAATCAAAACCAAACAACAAAACAACAAATCACACACTAAGTAAATCAATAAATAAAATGGGAATCCCCCCCCAACACTCGGGCTGTGGGGCCCTGGGGCCCCGGGCGGAGCAGAAGACGCGGAGGCGGATGGCTGTGGAAGACGCCAAGGCCGGGGGCTGCAGGGCGTCGAAGACCGCCTCCACGCTGCAGTTCCTGGCGAGAGGGCCGTGGCTTTTGGTTGATTCCCATGCTTGTGTTTGGTGAATGCCCTTCTCTGTTGGGTTTTTTGTTGTTTCTGAAGACGAACAGTTGTTTGGGGATTCTCCTTTTGACGCTCAAACTGGAGACCAGTTGTAAGCAGCGACCCCACGTTGAAGGGCACCATTGAACAACTGGGGCAGAGGCTGCGACATGGTCGCGGGAAATTCATCTCCATGATTCTCCTTGCTGAGCCAACCTAAGTCTGAAATATAACTCCCGGGGTACGTCGCTTCAGACCATTCTGCAGGATAACAAAAAACGGAACCCTGCTTTCCGTCGCATCTCGATGAACACGCCCGTAGAAAAAACAACAACAAGCGGTACAAGTCGTCATGTGTGTTAGTAAAACAGAATATTCAGAGGCCTGCAAGTTGCTGCAGGATGGACTGATTTAACAAACGTTGTCATCCCATTAGCACTGCCCTTTCAAGCAACCACTGCAGCAGTGCTACTTGTGCCCTCAAGCCTTCCCGGAAGTGCGGGGGAACAGCATTGTCAAGTTTGAAGTGCTTTGCCAAACGCTTTGGCGACTCTTTGTCCAAACGCTCCTAGGAAAGAATATCTGATTTCAGAAGTGTGGACTGCTCAGCAGCCGGCTCGTCCGCTTTGCGCGATGTCAAGGACCAATCAAGGATAACTTTGCGCCACTCCTCGCCAGGCAACTCCTTGATAGCTACAAATTTGAACTCCCAATTGCGCGCGTGCTTCTGCCTTCCATGGCACACGTTCGATATTGATGCCCTGCAAATGCCAGTGTGCATCGATGCTGCAGCGATGGACTCAAACTCCTGCCAGCCGGCCGCTAGGGGCCGCTCACGCCCAAGAAGCTGGCTCCATTGGTTTGGCCTCTTAAGTTTGCCTCCCGTTCTTCGCGAATGTGCATGTTGCACGTTCTGAGCGGGTGTCACATACTCCAGGTTGCTCACCGCATTGTTGCCCCGCTGGCCATCTAAATGGTTCACTTGCAGACCGGGCGAGCTTGGCTGGCCGTGAAATGTTGCTGCAACTAAGCGGTGCACCAGGAGGGTGCTGGAGGAGCTACTCGCTGACTTGTCGCGAAAACTCATCACATAGTACCCTGCCTTGCTGAGCGTCCCGTGCGTGGTGTGTCCCGAGTTTGTTCTAACGCGGCCAAGGCTGCTCACCATCCAGTTTGAAAGAGCATGCGGCATGCCAGGATACTTTGCTGCTCGCCACACCTCCCCAGTGAGTAGCGGCTCAGTCTCAGCTCGCTGAAACTCATATCCACCAGCCGACTGCATTTGCCCCATGCAGCATCTGCTGACAAAGGCAGGGCACACCCCCAATACCGATGCAGCTTCCTTTTGCGAAGGCAAGCTTGACCACGGCCCTGCTCCAACAAGTCTATATCGGACTGGCTTGGACCAACTGGTGATTCGCCTGGGCCTACTTGTTGCCCATGAGTATCGCAAATTCTCCGATGGTGTAACATACTCCAAATTGGTGGCTGCATTGTTCGTCGGGTGTCCGTTGATGTGATTGACATGAGTGTGAGCTGCAGAGGGCGGGGGCCCCAGAAAAGCTCTGGCGACCAAGCGGTGAACAAGGTACCGTTTCTTCTCAATCAAGACTCGCCGATACCCATAGCAGCCCAAGGACCCGTAATGAACAATGCCACGGGTGGACTTCACCCGCCCTAGCGAGCTCACTTCCCAGCCGCCGACACGCAGCTCTGACTGAAACCTGGTCTGGCAGCCGAACCACGGAAATTTGCCGGGCGGCAAAGCGCGCTGAGGCAGCCCAAAGGCCCAACAACGATTCCAACATTGCATGGCGAGAGTGGACGTCGTGACGTCGCAGCGCCTGCTTGCCACCGTCCACCTTGGGCCTTGTTCCTCAATGCAAGTCCATCGGAGCAGCAATTCTTGGGCCAAGACGTTCAGGAGACGTCAGCCACAAAATGCCCCGGGATTATGCCAGGCCTGCGCAAAGGGCTCAAAATCTGCAACATGATTTGCAAAGAGCAGCGGCAAACAAACACTTCCAAATGGGGCCTACTTGCAAAGTGGGTGGATTTTGCTGTCACGTCTAGTTCAAACTGCGAAAATAAGTACCCTCAAAGAGCAAAACACATTTAACAGATTTGATTTGAGGTCTTCAAGGGCCCTGGCAACAGAATAAGGCAAAGCTTGTCATTGTTTCTTCTAATAGAATCCTCAAAGTGCATTGGCCTCCGCAGCCTCAGCAGCTTTGGCTTTGGCAACGGCCATGGGTGTGCTTGGTAAACGTGCTCGCTGGGAAGGCGTGTGAGCCTTTGCCACTGACACGGATATACCCCAAGCTTTGGAGATTTCTTTTATTTGAACCTCAAAGCGCGTGCTTCAGTGGTTGTTAATCTTCCACCTCAACATTGCACCACTCAAGGGCATTCCGTGCAAACAGCCATGAAACTACAACGTGCGGTCCTCCCAAGAAGGGAAACCTAAGCACCCCTTCCTGGTGGTGTGCAGCCTGTGCAAAAGCCACCTCTCGAGGCATCATTGTAGCTGCTTGTCAAGGACCAATCGAGGATGACCTTGCGCCACTCCTCGCCAGGAAGTTCTTTGGGGGGCACATACTTAAACTCCCAATTCATTGTGCCGCGCTGGAGCCCACGGCAAACTGCAGATATGTTTGCTGCAGTTATGCCTGTGTAAGCAGCCGCTGCCTTCATGGATTCAAATTCCAGCCAGTTGGTCAGCCCAACAAGTTCTCGTCCTAGCACAGGCTTTCACTTATTCGGCTGCTCGCTTTTGAACTCTCTTTGGGAGACAGCGTGCTGCATATTTTGGGCTGGAGATACGTACTCCAGGTTGGTCACCATGTTGTTTCCTCGATTGCCATCCAAATGGTTGACTTGTAAGCCTGCTTCCTTGCGCTGCCCGTGGAAGGTTGCCGCAACCAAGCGGCGCACTGCAAAATTTTGGCAATGCCGGCTGGCTTCACTTGACAGTGCAGCATTGTAGTACCCCGCTCGCGAGAGAGAGCCGAGCGTCGTGTGGCCCGAGTCTGTTTTGACTCGGCCATGGCTGCTCACCATCCAGCGCGAAATAGGAACACTTATGCTAGGGTACTTGGCTTTCTTCCACACTTCTCCATGGAGTGGTGCATGCTCAACTTCTGAAACTCATAGCCGCCAAGGCTCTTCCGCAGTCCACGAAGACATTGGCTAACTCCTGCGCAGCTTAGCCCCAGCGAGTGTGCTGCTTCAGTTTGAGAGAGAAAGAGTGCCCACTGCCCGGTACCAATGGGCCTGCAGTAAATCCGCTTTGACCATCATCTCCGGCTTGATGCCAGCTTTTCTGACAGCGTGCCTTATATTCTCTGACAGCGTTACATACTCCAAGTTGCAAGCCGCATTATTTGTTGTTTTGCCATCAAGGTGAATCACATGCGTATGAGCTTCGGAGGGTGGAGGCCCGTGAAAGGCTCTTGCCACCAAGTGGTGCACGTAGTCTCTTCTGTGCCCAAAGCAGCTCAGGGACCCGTGGTGGATGACGCCACTGTTGGACTTGACCCGCCCTAGCGAGCTTACCTCCCAGCCGCTGACACGCAGCTCCGACTGAAACCTGGTCTGGAGGCCCAACCACGGAAATACGCCAGGTGGTAAAGCGCGCTGAGGCAGCCCAAAGGCCCAGGAACGATTCCAACACTGCATGGCCTACAAGGGACGTCACAGCACCTGCTTGCCACCGTCCACCTTGGCGCCCTGCTGCTTAAAGCATGGCACGCGGCATCGGAGCGGCAGTCATCTCGGGCCAGAACGTTCACGCGATGTCAGTCACAAAATGCCTTGGACCCCACAAAGGGCCCAAAACAAGCAACACATCGCACCAAATGAAGCACCAACCATCACCAAACAACAAACATGGCCAAATGGGGCCTATGGGGTTGGCAAAAAGCTGGGGAGGTTGCAAAGTCGTTTTTTTCCTTTCACGTCCCTTTCAAACTACCCGAAAAAAGGAGAACCCATGGCCAAAAACAACCACATCTGCTTTAAGATGTTCACGGGCCCCGCGCAACGAAATGCTGCCAGTGCGCACGTCCATCCAGAATCCCACCAGCACCATCACAAAATCCCGGGGCAGCTGACTCAGCAAAGGCCAGGCATGGAATGAACGAGCTTTTGACTGAAGGCATGTCCTGAATTCCGGGCAAACTACTACAATTCCCGAACCGGAAGGAAGGAGCTCCTTTAAGGAGGTGAGCTCAGTATGATTTTGCAAACCAATTGATGGGATCTGCCTGCACAGTTGGCTAGGCCCCACGCATCCTGTGCTCGTCCTCCTTTGGAGCACCTGATCTTGGCACCTTGGCCGCCTCTGCAAACTTGGGCCCAATTACTTGAAGCGTGCTGCCAGCCTCCGGCTTTAGTCATCCAAAGTCCTTGAGGCAGCTCCCACGATCGTTGAGAAAAGGGGACGGCTGCACGAAGCCTGTCATGTCACAAGCCAAGGTCAGGAGGTGCATGGGACCAATCAAGAATTACTTCGTGCCACTTCTCGCCGGGTAGCGAACCGTTTGCCTGCAAATCGAAAAAGCCAATTGCTTGTTTTTCCCTGGCGTCCGCAGCACACTTTTGATATGAGGTCAGCCTTTGCCCCAGTATGGACTGCGGCAGCTGCAATTGACTCAAAATAAATCCATTTGGGCGCGATGTCTATCTTGCAGCCCAAAACAGGTTTTCGTGCGTTTGGCCTTGCAAATGTCATTTGCGCGTGTGCATGCTGCGCATTTTGCGCTGGCGTCACGTACTCCAAATTGCTCACATGGTTATTTCCTCGATTGCGGTCCTTGTGGTTAACTTGCAGGTCTGCTACCGTTGGTTGTCCTAGGAAGGTAGCGGCAACGATTCGGTGAACTTGCAAACCTGCTGTCACACCCTCGGCCGGCCGGTTGTAATGCATCATGAAATACCCTGACCTGTTGCGGGTCCCATATGTGATGCGCCCGGAGACCGTCTGGACTCGGCCATGGCTGCTCACCATCCAATTGGAAAGAGCCTCAGACCTGCCAGGATAACTAGCTGGTTTCCACACCTCTCCAGGAAAAGACGCGACCTCAGCTTTCTCGCACTCATAGCCACCAACATACTTCTTCAGTCCAGTGCAGCATTTGCCCAAGCACGAGCGCCGCACCCCAAGCGTGCTTGCAGCTTCAGTCTGAGAACGGAACAGCAACCATGGTCCTGTCCCCACAGGCCGGCATCGAATTGGACCTGCAGACCTCGGTCCTCCCCGTGTGCCCGCTGCAATTGCGTGCGCGGCATTTTCTGATGGCGTGACGTACTCCAAGTTGGTGGCACTATTGTTTGCCGAGTCGCAATCTATATGGTTGACATGTGTGTGCTCAGGAGTGGGCGGAGGCCCTTGGAAAGCCCTCACTACCAAACGGTGCACTAAGAAGTTGCGCTCGTCAATTTTGACCTGCTTATAGCCATCGCGCCGCAAGGTTCCATAGTGAGTAGCGCCGCTGAAGTTCTTCACCCGGCCAAGGGAACTTACCTCCCAAGTTCTGGCTCGCACTTCAGATTGGAACCTAAACTGATGTCCCCACCGCAGGGAAGCACCTGGCGAAAATGCAAAGGGCCGAAGCCGCCCATGTGCCAAGCAATGCCAAGACGCCATGTGGCTTGCCAATTTTGGGCCAATGCCTGCAGCCTCGCACGCAGTTGCCAACAACTACGTACAAAAATCATGCGTGTCAAACGTAACGTGGCCAAGCTCCCAGAAACTGCTGCACAAAAGCATCGGAGAAGAAATCAACAAGGCGCCCGCCCTTTATGATGGCTTGTCCAACCTCCCATCCATTGATGACAATTCATCGAAATGTGTTCATGACAGGCGTCCCACCTCACACACACACACACCAAAGCCAAGCATGGATTGCAATGGTTCGCTCGCGGTCAGGATTATACGTCTGTTTTCAGCCAGTGCTTAGTCACGTGCACAACACATTTGACCTGGAATGTAACCTGTCATGCTGCCTCCGAGGAAACAAGCAGTGCACAAACAGCCGCCTGCATCTGATTCAGCAAAGATCCTCTTCCCAGGAACCGACATTCACATCGAGCCAACATCCTAGCTTGAGCCGGTAAGCAGCCCTTCTGACAAGCCCTTCATGAGGGCAGGACCCACTCATGTTGTACCACCGGAAACGGAACAACATCTCCAGCCTACAAAGCATCACTCCACCAAAAAGTGATGCTTGAAGAGCCGCAAAGAGGGTACGCCCCCTTTGGCAAATCAAGCCAAAACAAACGTTCAACAGGGTACCAACTCCAAAAGACAGGCCCCATTTGGACTGACCTCCTGCAAAGACAACATGGTTCAACAGTTGAACAGGAAAACAGTGGGAAAAGCCTTCAAACACGCAAACATTCAAAGCGGTCGCCCCCGTCTGATCATGATACACCACCCCACCCCCACGGAGCTCCCGAGGCCCGAGGCGCCTCATGAGGTTCTGGAAGGTGGGGAAGAGCCTCTCCGCCAGCGGCGTGGCGAAGGCCAGGGTCTGGAGCACCTGGCGCTGGCACAGCTCCCCCCCTCAACCGGGGGAGGCGGGGGGGGTGTCGAGTTCGGCTTCACCCGGGCCATGAACACGAACACCCTTTGAAGGGAAACCAACATGTGGGACCTTTTTGATCTTAAAGGGAGAAACCAGCCAAGCAATGGGTCCTGCGATACGGATGCCCTTTGAGTAAATTTGCTGCGAATGGCAGGAGGAGAGCGGGACCCAAGGCTCCCCTCTGGAACCTAGGATCAAGCCCCCCAAGGGTTAACCCTCCCCACGCATATCCACGCACCAAACCAAGACGTAGTGCCTACTTGGGACGTGTCTCTGGGGACCTTCACATTCGCCTTGGGGTGTGCAGGCGCGGTAGCCCAGCAAGTTATCATGATTCATGTAAGTTCTATGGAAGGGGTGGCATCCATCCTGGACAAGGCCTGGACAAGCCGTATCAATGGGGCTAGCATGGGCTGTTCAAAAGGGGGAATCCCTCGTCATCGGAAGGTACACCACTACAACAAAGGACCCACTACCATCTGGCATAAGGATAAAGCATTGAGTTTGAACAAGCCAGCTAGCAAGCGCACGCAGCTCCCAGCCATGTACAATTCCAGCTCACCCTTGGCAAATCCACCAATGCTAGAGGACCCTGTGAAGCTGCAGGAGGTGGAATCACGCACAAACACACAAACACACAGCCACACACACACAGCTATACACACACAAACACCTCCACATGGAACTTGCCAAAGGCGCACTTCAAAGGGGCACGCAGCAAACAGTGGCTGATGTGATGTGCTAATCTGGAGTTGCAAGGTCGGCTGGTATTGAATCAAATTTGCAGAACAATGCCGGGCATGATCGCTAGAAAAGTACCTGGCTGGTGCTGAGGTCTCACTCTGCACCGTGCCTCCAATGGAGGATCAACTTCTGCCTCTGCCATGCCGCTTGACCTGAGGGCAGCGGCGCTTGGCGATTGGCGTTGGGTGCATCTCTCCTTGCGCAGCTGCAGGACCCGGAACATCCCTGTTATGCCAGAAAATCATGCCACAACATGTTCAATTTGAAACACCACGGGACAGTTGCTCAACTACGATGGTGGCATATGTGGAACCAGATTTTGGCCAAACATGATGGTGCACATGTGAAACGCAGGGGTTGTTCCAACCAAGAACACTGGCTGCTGCGCAACATGTTTATGGCGTCTAGAAGCTTGCCTCCTTCTGGGGCGCAAGTCTCACTTCCTGAGAGGATTGCATCAACAAAGTCGAGACTGTCATATTTATACCTGAGCTTATCTTCCTACAAAGTGTCAAGTCCAGAAACTGGGGAAGGGCGCTGCAAAGTTCCTGAAGCCCCTGTTCGGGCTTGGTGCTTCCTATAAATCCACATACGCTACAATGAATCAAGTCTACAGCATGGTAAGCTCGTTTTACCCCCCAAATGAGCTCGCCGTAAAATCGGCGAATGATTCCCGGACACGCCCCACGTTCGCTTTTCGGGACCCCGGGCGGTGCGAAGTACAAGCGGCACACCGCCAGCAGCACGTCGTCCCTCGCCCGGCCGATGGCCGCCAGAAGCATCCGAACGAAGCCGCCGCCTGAGGTGCCGGCGAAACGCGGGGCAGCTGAACCGCTGCTCATTGGAATCTCCGGGGGGGCTATGGGGGGGGTCTATCCCTGGATATATGCCCAGGAAAACCCAAGGATGAGCGCAAAATAAGGCATTATTGAGGGCTTAATAAGGGATAGCCCCTGGGGACATGGAATCTTCGGGGGGGCTATGGGGGGGGCTATCCCTCCGTCCTCGCTGGTGTTGGGCTTATTGCCGCAACACTGTGGATTCAAGCTACATCGCTACGCGGCGAAGCCGGAGCTTAGATGAAGCTTAGATGGGGGGGGCTATCCCTGGATAAGCCCAGCATAACCCAAGGATAAGCGCAAAATAAGGCATTATTGAGGGCTTAATGAGGGATAGCCCCCCCTCCCCATAGCCCGCCTTGGGGGTCCGTGAAGCAGGATATGGTGCGACATATATTTGTTTTCTTCAAGCGATACATGAAAATATTACACATAGCAGGTGTATATCATACACATTCTATGTGCACACATGACTGTCTGTATCTATCTATCTCCCGAATGGCACCACCACAACATTAATAAGGCATCTACCTCACCTCTCTGTGACGTCCTGTGATGCAAAAGGAACGGATGAGTTCTTCAAGGCTCAGAACATCTCAGAACCCTTTTACAACGCTTGCTTGGGGAATGGGTCGCCAAAGAAACTCCATGAAACTACCGAAGGAAGACCAGTTCGTCATAGAGTTTTCCTGTGAACATCTGTGAACTATCAGCTGTGAACTATCAACTGGCAGGCTTTACGCTGCGCAAAGGCTGATGCTTCTTGAAAGCAATGGCCATCAACAACCCTCACCAACTGCACCCGAAGTCAAACAAAGCAACGTGCTTATGGAACGCAAGCGAGGGTCGCTGCCAAGAATATTGCCAGGAAGTGGGTAAAGCAGACAACTCCAAACCAGCAGCAAACACTTGGTGGCGTTCAGCCTGTGGGCTTCAGTGGCTCCTCACACTCTCTTCTTGCACAAGGTGAGAAGCAAGTCCGACCTAACAGCACTCCCCGCATCATTTGACATGGCGCCCACCTTGTAGAATACAATTGTCTTCCAGGATTCCCCAGTTGGCTCCCATCCATACCTCTTAAATCCACCGCTTAGACAGTGGACACGGCTTGCCGTCTGGGCTTCCAGCGGTGCAAGCGGCTCACCGCCGCGCTGCTCTTCGCATCGTCGCCCATTCGCTCCTGGAAAAGGCCAGTTGGTCAGGGCTTCAACCCCCTGCAAAAGGTGGAGCAAGTGGAATGAATGAAACCATGGGGCAAGTAACTTAGTTACGGCTGAAGTGCATACTTTCTTCAGAAAACCCAAATGAGTCGATCGACAAGAAAGGCGCCTTCATCCTTGGCGAGCTCGATTCACTGCAATGTAAGTTGTCCATAGATGTCCATAGTTCGGGTAAATATACTTCTTGAACAGGGGTCCTGCATGCAAACGATGTTGCTTTGAACATGACCAGGGCCGGGCCCATCAGACAACCACTTTGCGCATGTAAGCACGTTGCAGCGAGCTGTTGGCAGTGTGCGAGTCAAACAGGACACATGTTGCTGCGCTCGCAGCCTACACAAAACAAGCTGACCTCCAACGGCGCCCAAATGCCCTGCAAGGCTTCCCTTTAACTAGCCATCCCCTCAAGAAGTCTTGGTGCAGCCTCTGCAGGGCGCTTGAAATGATAGCCTAGGGTTGAGCAGGAGTCCACAAATGCACTCTCCCAAGATACCAATGGCACACCACAGATCCTGGCCCGCCTTGGATGTCCTTCCTCTTCTGCAAGTCCGCAGGCCAAACTAGAATTTGTATACTGTAAGAATTCTTTTGGCCTCTGATGAACCAAGGGAAAACAGCCACATTGCAAGCCCCAAACGTCTGGACATCTTTTTTGGGGGCTCGCAAAGGGAACCTGGTACCTCCCCCAAAATGGGAAGCCCTAGGCAGCAGCTCTCCTTAGCCCAGGAAAGCCAGGTGAGCAGGGACAGGAGGTTGCCGCTGTCGTCATGCTGAAGCGCAAAGCGCTCCTGGAGCTGGGCACATTTCAGGAACGGAATTGAATAAAAGGGGGGTCTCCCGACTCCAGCTTTCGAGTCTTCCCCACAAAAGTATGTGTTTGGTTTGTGTGTGTTTTTTGTTTTAAATAGAACCAAACATGGAGATCTCTAGGGGTCGAAATCCCTCCACCCAATCTATGTGTGAGGGGGTGGGAACCTCACAAACCTGAAATAAGAACTCCCCGGGCCAAAGGTTTCATCATGGGTGACCAGCTTTGTCTCAAGGTAAGCTCGAGCAAGTCGAAGCCCAAAACTGAATCGAGTTCATTGGCTCTCTAGGGCTTTTGAATTGCCCGGCTGTGGATTCCCCCCCTCAGGGTGCTAAACGAGTGAGACAAGGCTGTTTCAAGCCATGAAACCGTTCCGCTAAGCAGGGCTAAAAGGATTGTAAGCTCGCAAATGACGCATTAAGCAGAATAACCCGTCCGCAAAATCAAACTCTCACGCGGATTTGGAGGGGGCAGGCCCTTAAACTCGGTGTTTAGTAGGGGACCTGAGCGAACAATCAATAACAATGTGAAGAATCAACATCATTTTCATGGGTTGCAAAGGTACTGAGGGCTCTACATCACCAAATCCAAAGAATGCCATCATCCTCAAAGTCCACTTTCATGATTGTTGGGAGCAGGCTGTAGGTTCCATCATCCTCAAACATGTCTCCTGTGCGCTTCCATGATTGTTGGGATAAGGCTGTGCCCCTCGCAAACACCACATGCGCACCCCACCACGCAGCATGGGCACGAGCCGGGCTCCAGCATAGCCGCCACGTTGTCCAAGACTTCCGCTTGGCACCTGCTCGAACGACTGTCAATGTGTCAAAGGTGAAATGTATGAAGCCAGTCTGTGAATGGACGAAATCCCTTCGCACCACCTTTGAAACAAGGTTTGAATCCATAACGTTTGTTGGCAATTGCAGGAGAATCACTATTCCAACGGTGTCCGGGATGGTGCAGGATTTTATCCATCCACAGTATCTCGGTGGTTTGCCTACCCCTTGCTAGATGTTACACTTTTACTAGTATACTGTATACTGTATATGTCACAAATATCTCTTAGCTCTAGACATCTAACAGTCAAGGCGTATGGCTAGGAACTGCAAACTGTCTCTCGGAAGCATGTGGGGTTGAGCCCTGTCCATTACTTCTTTTGTACCCATGAAGGGCAAATGTGTGGGGAAGGGTTTGGGGGGGTAGGTATTGAACCGGGACCAACTTTTGACAATCACCCAGATTGCATCCGTGCCGGTTTGGGCCCGGAGAGGGGCTTGCTTCTGCGTCCGGGGTTCGCGTATAGTTGTGCGTTCAGCCTTTGCCTGCCTTTTATTTCTTCTGACTTGGACAGGCCTCCAAGGATCTTGGCATGTCAAAACTCAGTCTTCGCATGCATGTTGTCTTTGAGCAAGGCCTGATCAATACGCACAATGTGCAGAATACATGTTGACAGCGTCCGCTCCGGGCACCAACGCACATGCTGGTGGTTGAGGGCTCATGGTAGAGAGTAGCAATTTTCATGGGCCCGTTTTCTTTTTGGCTCATGCTTGGAACCTTCAATGTGCTCACTTGCATGCTAGTTTGCAAAACACATGCAATTCCCCTGCCCATGTGCATATTCATGAAAGGCAGCCAGTTTTGGGATGGTTGCCAACAAAAATTGGAACCCTCCTTCTGCAGCAGGCGTGACTCTCCCTCGCAGGCTGTCTGCCGCCTTTCGGTGTGTGGCCCTCCCAGCACCCCGGCGGTGTGGACCAGCAAAGTGCAAAGGCCTTGGTAGGGCTCAAAGATCGGGACCGTCACTCTCACTGCGTGGCCAGGGTGGCAGGAACCCTTTTGGGTTTTGTTTTGATCCCTTTCAGTGGGCAACTCACAAAAAAAGAGGGTATCACGGAACCACTGCGCTCCCTGAAAATAGAAAATCCGAAGACAGGAGTTCAACCTCCCAATCCCAACAATCAACTAGGGGTGACCGTGGTGACCCCAAAAGTGGCTCACCGAAAGGGACCAGGACAATAACAGGCCCTTGCTTTGTTGGGAATGCACCGCAGGATTTCCTGAAGGGACTGGGGATGATTCAGTTCGGGGTCATTCCATCTCATTCCCTGCGGATCAAACCAGCAAGAATTTGCAGGGTACTTGTTGAGGGCAACCAAAGGGAAAACCCACCCAACCAAAGGAAAACAGCCGCCCTTTTTCGAAACCAACAAGAGCAACCCACCTTTTTGGAACCCAAATGGGCCAAATGGGAAAACCTTCTGAGAACAGGCAATGTTTCCCTCTAGGCACTCAGAGCCAACAAAGAGCCTGGCCTTCACCGGAGAACCCCGGGTGGGCATCGCTTCGGTCTCAGCCCCCCGCGTCGCAGGGCTGTGCTGGGCGCAGCCTCCTGCTGCATTTCTGAGCGGAAGGTGTGGGCATTTTTTTGGGGCGCACAACACCCTAGGTGTTGATAGTAAATGCCGGAAAAAAGTGGGTTTTCCCCTGCTTTCCTCCTTTTTAATTAGGGGTTGACATGATGGTGCTAAACAGAAGCATTTGGAGCCGGGGGGGTTGCTTTTGTGAGGTTGTTTTGAAAGGGAACCAGAAGGAACCAACCCAAAGCAAGCAAGGGTCTTCAATGCTCTTTTTGGGTTGATTTGTTCTGCTTTAAAGTGAAACCAAAAAAAGCGACCCATGTTTGGAGTCCCCATATGTTGAAGGCAATCCTGATGTCTGGGAAACACAAAGGCACTCCACCTGAGCGAATCTAGCTTCCCTCGCGTATTCTTCGGATATGGTTGAAGCAGTTGGGCCCTGTTTGCAAGCCATCTCTTGCTTGCTTCAGCTTCCATGGCCGGTCAACCCTAACATTTATCTCAAGTCAACCCCACTTTGCGTTTCGATGAACTTGTCAGGCTCAAACACATACGTATCATGATTACGGTTTGTCCCGCTGTTCAATCCACGACCTGGACCTTGCTCAACATGAGGCGTGATTGGTGAGTTTTGTTGAAAATGATGCCTTCACAGCAGCCTCCCTTTGCAACAGCGACACTTCTGACCAAAAGAGGAAACCTAGGGAACCCTGCGCAATGAAGCGTTTGACAACACCGAACGTGCGCCCTTTGAGAGCTATCATGACTAGGGGCCATGGCAAGTCAAACAAACGCATCAGCAACCTTCAAACGTTGAGACCAGCTGTGCACTCAAGACTTCTTGATTCAAGGCCATGTTGTTCACTCAGCATGCGCCTTTCTGAATACAGCCTCCCTGCAAAATCCCTGTGATTGAAGCATCTATGTTCTCCGGCATATCATTGGCGCGACAGGCCTCCATCTCGGCTTCAGCTGAGTATGGCATGAATTCGAACCCGGGCTTCCATCATTAGGATCCGCTCGAGTGACAACGAGTCCCGGAGGGAGAGTCAAGGACAATGCTCTCGCCACTCCTCGACAAAATTAAGCTTCCAGTTGTGCCTTTGTCTCTGCTTTCGTTGCAAGTGGAAATCAATTGTGAAATTTAGGTCTGTATGAGACCTGGCATGGTGTGCAAACGTCACGCCCTCTGTGCAGAATCCAAGGTGGTTTGGAAAGCAGGTCGGCCTCCACCGCAGCTTTGGCTGAGCTGCAAAATCGAAGTGTAAGCACAGAGTGCGTGATTGCTCCAAATCGAGGAAGACGTGTTTCACATAGCCTTGACTTTGAAGGCTGTGCTACAAAGTGCTACAAGTGTCGGGGGTCCAGTCAAGAAGAACCTCCCGCCACTCCTCGCCGGGCAACTCCTCAGTAGCCACAAAATTGAACTCCCAGTTGCGTGTGTATCTTTGCTTTCTTTTGCAAACTCTAGAAATCAATGATTTGGAAATGCCAGAATACACAGCTGCCTCGGTGACAGACGCAAAATAAAGCCACCCAGCTGTGCCGTCAAGAGCACGCCCCAACACTGGCTTCGCTAGATTTGGTTTGTGAATCTTATGACCAGCCCTGCGGGAGTAAGCATGTCGCATGTTCTCCGCTGGAGTTACGTATTCCAAGTTTCTGACATGATTGTTGCCACGATTGCCGTCCAAATGGTTGACTTGCATGTCCACCGTGCTTGGCTGTCCCAAAAAAGTTGCAGCAACCATGCGGTGAACCAGCATATTCATGTCAAGGCCAGCTGCCCCATTGCGACACCTCAGGTTATAGTAGCCTGCTTTGGTATAGGTGCCAAGCGTGATGCGCCCACCATGCGTCTCAACTCGCCCGTGGCTGCTCACCATCCAAGTTGGAATTTGGGTCATGCCAGGATACTGGGCTTCTCGCCACACTTCTCCCGAGAGCAATGGGGGCGTAGCAAGCTGAAACTCGAATCCACCAGCCTGCTGCAGAACTCCTTTGCAACACTGGCTCACAAGCAAGGGTCTTAGACCCAAAGCGTGCGCCGCTTCGCGCTGAGAAGGGAAACGCTGCCACTCTCCCAAACCGATGGGTCGGCCGAGTACAGGCTTGCGGCCCCCAAGCTTCATCGTGGATCGGATTGTCTGCGCATGTTTCATGTTTTCTGCTGGTGTGGCATACTCCAAGTTGTTGACAGCGTTGTTTGTTGCGTTGCCATCTATGTGATTCACTTGCGTGTGAGCTTCAGAGGGAGGAGGCCCGTGAAAGGCTCTCGCTACCAAACGATGCACGTAAAAATTCTTGCCTTGGATGCGAGCACTTCGGTATCCATAGCAGGTCAAGCACCCGTGGTGAATATTGCCGCCGACAGTTTTTACCCGTCCCAATGAGCTTACCTCCCACGTGCTCGCCTTCAACTCCGACTGAAATCTCACCTGACAGTGGGCCCAAGAGGATATGCCAGGTAGTAGATCAAACGGCAAATGTCGCACTGACCTGCCATGATGCCAGCACCTCATGCTTCGGGGGAGCACACTTTGGCACCTTGAATGGCATTCCAGGCCCGCCGGTGCTGCTCGGTGCTGCTTTGACAAACCCCAGCTTGAGCCATCTTGAGCCAAGTCAGAACCAGGGCCGAGGCTGCCATCGCAATATCGCGCAGGCTGCGGCTTCAAACCCCACCAACATGGGCCTGGCCACACGCACCATGCAAACTCAGAGCTTAGAAACCTGTCGGGAGCCAACAAAGATGTTTCTCAATCATCAAGAGCCATCTTTTGCTCTTCGGATCTTTTCGGAGCTGTGAGCAATTGCCTTTCTGCACGTATGATGCGCATGCGGGTCGAGACCTAAAAGGACTGGTACCACGTATCATCCACGCCCGGGCAGTTACAGCACAGACTCGTGTAGAAAAGTTTGAGCGCTTCCAAAGCTTGCAAAGCAACCAAGTGCATCCAAGTGCGTCATGGCAAGCCCAAAAGAGCTGTCAAACTCTCCAAACTCTTCCAGTTCGACATTGACAATCATACATGGCATTCGTTGCAACATGTTTCACCCAAACCAGGCCAACGCCCCACCATTTCACAGGTGCCAAATGTGTTTATGTTTCAAGATCCACACCACAGCCCTGCAAACACACCCGCGCAAGCGTGGGTATGCCATGCCGTGGCTTCCCGTCCCGTCCTGGCAAAGGCTGTCCACCAGCCCGGGGGTTGACAACAGCTGCACCAAAAGCTCCTGGCGACTTCCAAAAACAAATCTTCGCAATGTGCAGCTCGCAGGGCATTTTCATAGCATTCCAGGGGAAGCAAGGGCGTCTCCGAACTTTACACTCCACCAACCAAAAAAACAATCAAACAAAACAAACAACAAATCAACACTCCCCAAAAACAAAACAAACAACACAAACACCACCGAATCACAAAACCAGACGCACGACAACGAGCAAACCCCACTGAACACCGCTGGCTCCTTTCAACTCACCTGACTTCTGCTCCTGGCGGCCACGCAGCGAGGCCTCCACCGTGCCCAGCGACACCGACTCGATGCCGCAGCACCTGAGTTGGCGCAGGCCTGACCCAATAGCATTATCGACCCCCGGCAAAAATGAGAAAATCCGCCGACTTTGTTCGGCGTGTCGGATACCTACCAGAGTTCCCCCACGTACCGCGCGGCGATTTGATGACGTTCCACTAAACGTAGTTTTCGGGGAGCCGGTGTCGCAAAACAGGGGTCCCAGGCTCGATTCCCCCTGCCGGCGTTTTGCTGGTTTAGGTTTCCTGCTTGCTTTTGCAGAAAATCTGGAAAAAACTCTGTGTTTTTGGACGTCCTCTTTGCGAAAACGCTTGAAGAAAGTGTTTTTTGTGGAACGTACCGGGGAGCCAAGGGGAAATGCAAGGAAGTGCAAGGAACAAATCTGGAAAAACTCTGTGTTTTTGGACGTCCTCTTTGCGAAAACGCTGGAAAAACAGTGTTTCTTGCGGGAACTATTGGGGAGCAAAGGGGAAATGCAAGGAAGTGCAAGGAAATGAGGGGAGGAAATAGGAAGTCCACATGTCAGGAAAGCAACGGGAAATGAAAGGGAGACAAAGGGGAACTGAAAGGGACATGACAGGGACAGAGCTGAAAACGAGGGGAGTGCACTCGCAACGAAAGAACGGGGCATAAATGAAAAATGACACGGACATACCGAGAAAATGTCAGGGACATGAAGGGGGAGTTGAAAGGTGTCAAGAGACGGCAAGGTGACGTCCCGTGGGACGCTATGCACCGAACCCTCAAGCTGTAATACCAACCACGTAGAAAGGTGTATACGGACGATGCCGTTATAGCCGAACCCGTGTAAACGTTGTAAGGGAGAAGGAATGATAGTTACAACAGTGGTCCTGACAAATGCAGCGCAAGCGAAGTGTTTTCGCTCTCAATGCCGATCACGTATGTATGCAGTCACACATCAGATCTTGAACCTCAATTGTGTCTTGAGCCAAATGGCGATCAATGGAACTTGGGAAGCAACACCAACAAGGACCTCAGAACTGCTACCCAATTTCGGCACGGGGCCTAGAGGGTTTTAACATCCCCCATTTGGGTCGCATTGTTCATCATGCGGTCCAAACACCACAAAACGTTCCACTGGCCACGGCTTCAACTACGAAATCGTGTCGTGCATTCTTTTACTTGCTATCACTACACCGTTCATTCGTTGTGAAACATGCCGGGTTCGATTGTACGAAAAGTGAAACATTCATCCATCAATCGAAGCACACTTCCATATGCAGGTGTATACAATACACAATCGTCACGTCATTTGACCACCAACGAACAATCCAGCTGCCGCATTTGCGCATCGCGCAGCTGTCATCCATAAATGGGTTGGCCACAAAAGTCCACCAGAGGCGCCTGCTCGTGATCGGTCTGCATATTTCCGGCAAAGAAACATCGGTGAGTAATCAATGCAAATCATAGCCATTCCAGATACCATGGACAATGCATAAATAATGAAAAGATATCATCTATAAGGTAATAGTTCCATCCATGAATATCCAGAGCGTCATAGTCATCGGAATATGTAACCATGTACACATCCAGTCATCTTGGACACATGAATATAAATCATGACATAAAGTCGTTCCACCGAAATAGTGTCGATGTGACGCAAGTAACAGATGGGGACTGACCCACATCGTACCGCAATCAGCATCTTCACGAAGCATACCTGTCCCCAATGGACAGCCTATGGGTACGTCGACGGAACTCCTCGTCCAAGTTCTTCTGGGCTTCTCGTGCCCGGACACACTTCTTGTTGTAGTCCTCTGGCAACCAGTGCCCTTTCCGAAGGCACCAATCCAGCAGGGGTGTGTCGCATTTGTTCGGGTCGATGGCCGAGATGATGGCGCTCACGTTGACCGTGTAACCATTCTTGCCAAGGTTTAGGCCATCCCTCACGAATGATATATACTTACAGTTGAAAGCTAGTGCAAAACATCTGAAAATAATATCACCCACCGGGTGCACTCGGTCCTTGACCAGGAGCTTCATTTCTTCCTTGGTGACATCGAGGATTCTCGCTGCAATCCACAGCTTGTAGAATGTGTAAAGTCCCTCGCATTTGCACACCATCATACGAATATAATCTTCACGCTCCTCAACCGATCGGAAGGATCTCGTCCGAACATTCTCCGACTGAGAAATTTTCTTCGCTGTTGATGGTAAGAGTATACCTTCCTGATCCTGATCGGTGATGTTGGGGTACCTCTTGAAGTCATTGTGATAAGGGCAGCCCGGCCTCCCTTCGAGTCCGGCATTCATCGTTCTCTCCTCACCACCTTCAAACATCCCCCACATCTTGGACAGCTGGAGTGCGATAAATCCTGCCATGTACTGAGCCTCACGCGGCTCGTCAAGGCAGATCGCCATCCGTTGGGAACTTATAATGTCCCGTGACGCCAGATCGGTGTCGCGGTAATGCCAACCGCTGTCTTCTTCTTCTGACGCATAGCCGGATGTATATCCTTGCGTGTCCATGTCGTCATCATCTCCCGGAACTTCCTCCGCTTCGTCTTCATCCTCCTGTGCTGCCGCATCGTGGTTAGCTTCTTCCTGTGCACGCCTGGCATCTCCAGAGACGTTGGGGTTTTGGTTGTCCTCCTCGTCATCGGATTTGATGTGAATGTAGTATCTTCCGATGGAGATCAGTTGTGCCTCGCACTCCAGGCATAAGCAGAAGCAGGTGGGGATCGCGGTCGCACATGATGGACATATCCGGCACCTCAGTCCTTCCCATGTCTCATCATTCAGGATGACGACTTTGCTGACTTCGTCCCGGACCTCGTTGACCTGTGCGTTGAACTCTTCCATCTTGTTGTTTCGATAGAGTTCGCAGCACGATTAACCATGTCAACGATGTAGTGCAGATTATCGGCACCTGTCTCAGTCTCCGGCATCCTCTCGCTGATCTTTGCGACGTTCTGGAGGAACATCGCAGCCGACTCTTGGGAAGAGTTGACAAAGCCAGGGCAGATCTCGTTCTCCACACACTTCGAGTACGCCCTCTTGATGTCAGCGTACTCCAGGCGCTTCCCTCCGTTGCTTTTGCCAATCCAAATGGACTTGACCTCATAGAACGGGATCACGTCAAAGACCATGAAAGTCCCATTAGCCGCGACTCCAGCTCCATACCGCGCGAGGGTTGCACTGGGAATGTAGATGATCGCAATCGGATCCCCTCTCCTCACGTTCCGCAGCGTCGTCTTCGTCGCCACGTTCATCTCATCCCATGGAGCAAACGCCCCGAAGTGCAGTGCTAGCCTGTTGCCGCCATCGATTCCGCCGGGGACTAACCCACAGCGTACGATGCTTGGCAGGTTTTCCACATACGTCACATGGAATGCTCCTCCGAGAGAATCACCCATTCTTGCGGAATACCTATTTGCCAGTGCGGATGAGCTCATGAATCCAAAATCACTGTGACCAGTTGTGACTCGGATGCACCAAGGTCTGTACCATCCATCGCATCTGTTGAACATCCTGTCGATGTCGTCCCGAACCATGCCGGCTTTGGCCATTTCTTCCCTGGCCGCCCTGGTGTCATTCGGGTTCATGATGCTTGGAAACCTTGCTGCCAGAACCTGGAATCTCGATTTTCTGCTTCCGGATTCCTGCCACTTGATCACCTCCATGATGCCCATGTATCGTTTCGCTCTCGTGGTGTATGGTGGGAATATGTCGTTGTTCCGGTCGTCAATGACAGCATCAATGTCGACCCATCCACCCTCGTCGCACCTGAAAGCACTTCCTCGGCAGCTGCCGATCTTGTGTCGAAGGACTCTGCATAGGTCGTGAGATAGCTGGTTTGCTTGGTCCCTTGTAGTAAATACCGAGCGATCATCACCAATCCTGCATAGTGGAGCACCGTCGAAAGGAGCAACGCAGAAGTTGACACTCTTGCCAAGTTGCATCACGTCCACCTGCTCAAGGATTGCACCTTTGGGAAAGTAATTGGGGTCAACGATGGACGCATACGCCCATGGCAAGTGCACATCACTCACGTCGCCAAACTTCGGGATGTAGCACGGGATGGTGTCGCATCCCATCTCAAGCGTCTTCTTGAACGTCCTGCTGTCCCCGCACGGGTTGTAGGTGAGGTCGACGCCACCACATTGTAGCTCTCCTCCCTCAGCCGTGTCAGCCATCTCCACCAAGTTGATGGTATAGCTATACATCTCAATTGTTTCTTTCCCTGCTTGTCCTCCTCTCTTTCTTTCCTTGGACGTTGATGAGGACGGCTCCTCCGTATCCCCCATGTCTTCATCTGATGAAACAGGGTCACTGCTGAGTAGCTCACGGAGCACCTTCATCGCCTTCTCATTTCCAGCAGCCTCCTCAATGTCCTTGCAGTCGCCGTCGTGGGCCAGGTTCGCGCATTTCCTACAGATTCCCATTTCTCCCATGCACTTCTCCATTGACTCCAGGAATCCTAGTGCCGCTCTCCGCCCGTCGATCACTCGCTGCTTCTTATCTTCCTTCTCAGCATTGGGCTGAGAACTTCGACTCGGGTCTGGTGCTTGACCAAGACCCTCATCTTCGCCCTCCGTGGCCTTTCTCTTGGACCCTTGTGCAGCAGGCTCGGTTATCAGGGATCGCGGGTGTCTGGGCTTGGCCTTGTTCATGATGTCCAGCACTTCTTTCGTTGGCGCCCCGAGTTGAGCGGAAGGTTTGTTCCGCTTTCGGTTCTGGCCCGTCGTGTGGGTCACGTTCCCGGCGAGGTGTCGTACGATTGACTGCTCGAACTCCCTCTTGATCTTCCATACATCCTTCCACAGCGGTAGTTCGTGCTGGAAGTACGACATCACCTCAAAGAACCCCAATACCATCTCGACGACGTCTCCCAGGGATTCCTCGTTTGTAGTTTGTCCCAGGAGTTCATACATCGTCCCTTGGTCGAGCACGCTCTTGATCCAGGAGGAATAGGCCACGTTGCCGAGATCCTTGTCTATCATGAAGATGGACATTCTCTCCTCGACTCCCTCGGAATTCTTGCACACGATCACATCCCGGG